TGTGCATCAGGTGCTGATTGGTGTATGTGCTTTGTGTCAGCCTCCACCAGAATGTCAGCAAATCGAGGGGAAGGACTTTGCCTATCTTCCTACTGTATTCCCAGCACCTAGAACAAGACCCAACACTCAGTATGAGATCGAGTAATGTATGAGGAATGAATGAATGAGCAGCAACCCTGAATGTAGAACTGAACAATATTCATCATCACAACTCTCAGAATCAATGAAGGGGAGGGAAGGAAAGGCATTTCTCACCTGGAGAAGGAGTGAGTCTTCCAGACAGCAGCAGGAGACTGGCCCCCTGGGATGTGGTAGGCAGGGGGTGTGTGACTGGGCAATGTCTTTGGGCTGAGCCCACCTTCATGCTCATTTTCTCTAACACAAAATCCTCCTCCATGGGCCACTAGGAGAACTCTTTTTTTTTTTTTGAGACAGAGTCTCGCTCTGTTGCCCAGGCTGGAATGCAGTGGCACGATCTCGGCTCACTGCAATGGAAACCACCTTTGCAAAACTGTGAGACAGTGAAAGAGATCTAACTTAACCGAATCCATCTTGCTTTTTTTTTTTTTTTATTTTTTTTTCCTTTTTTTTTTTTTTTTTTTGAGACAGAGTTTTGCTCTGTTGCCCAGGTTGGAGTGCAGTGGCCGGATCTCAACTCACTGCAAGCTCTGCCTCTCGGGTTTACGCCATTCTCCTGTCTCAGCCTCCCGGGTAGCTGGGACTACAGGTGCCCGCCACCTCGCCCAGCTAGTTTTTTTTGTATTTTTTTAGTAGAGACAGGGTTTCACCGTGTTATCCAGGATGGTGTCGATCTCCTGACCTCATGATCTGCCCGTCTCGGCCTCCCAAAGTGCTGGGATTACAGGCTTGAGCTACTGTGCCCGGCCTCCATCTTGCTTCTAATCTCTAAGCTGTCCTTGTTCATTTCTGGGTGTAGGCTGAACTAATTTTGGGAGAAACTTAGTTTATAAACAAAGACAGTAACAGCCCTTTCCCAAAGCAGACGTCCTCGTTGCCTGGGGACTAGATTGCCTTTGTAGGACTAACATTAGCCACAAGATTAGAAATTATGGTTTAGGGCCAGGTATGGTGGCTCACGCCTGTAATCCCAGCACTTTGGGAGGCTGAGGTGGGCGGACCATCTGAGGTCGAGAGTTCGAGATCACCCTGGCCAACATGATGAAACACAGTCTCTACTAAAAAATGCAAAATTAGCTGGGTGTGGTGTGCATGCCTGTAATCCCAGCTACTCAGGAGACTGAGGGAGGAGAATCGCTTGAACCCTGGTAGTGGAGGTTGTGGTGAGCTGAGATCGCGCCATTGCACTGAAGGCTGGGCAACAAGAGCGAAACTCCGTCTCAAAAAAAAAGAAAAAAAAGAAATTATGGTTCAAGAGTCAGGCAGCTGGAGGCTACAAGATTCGGATCCTCCCTAAACTGCTCCTAAGATCAGCGCTTGAGATATTTTGCAGACCCTGCACTTGATGGATCAGCTGGTACCACCCAGATCAATAAACTGGCTCCTCTGATCTTGTGGCCCCCACCCAGGAACTGACTCAGTGCAAGATGACAGCTCTGACTCCCTGTGATTTCATCTCTGACCAATCAGCACTACTGGTTCACTGGCTTCCCCCACCCACCAAGTTATCGTTACAAACTCTGCTCCCCAGATGCTCAAGGAGACCGATTTGAGTAAGAATAAAACTCCAGTCTCCCGAACAGCCGGCTCTGCATGAATTACTCTTTCTCTGTTGCAATTCCCCTGTCTTAATGAATCAGCTCTGTCTAGGCAGCAGGCAAGGTGAACCCCTCGAGGGGGTTACACAACCTGTGTCTCCCGGGTTCAAGCAATTCTCCTGCCTCAGCCTCCCGAGTAACTGGCATTACAGGCATGCGCTACCACGCCTGGCTAATTTTTTGTATTTGTAGAGATGAGGTTTCACCATGTTGGCCAGGCTGGTCTTGAACTCCTGACCTCAGTTGATCCGCCTGCCTTGGCTTTCTAAAGTGCTGGGATCACAGGTGTGATCCACCGTGCCTGGCCTGAGAACTCTTCTTTATTCTGCAAAACCCTTCAGGCATTCCATCCCATCCTGTCCCACAGGTGGAGTCTGCCCCACCTCCCTCAGGCTGGCGGCTTTGGGGTACCAGCTACCTCGCTTATTCCTTTCTTGAGCATCCACTGCTCTGGCTGACCAAGGGTGATGGTCAGCACTGCTCTTTCTTCTGGATAGAAATCACCCATTATGAGTGGGATTCCCCTTGGGGTCCTTGGAAGTGGGGCTGGCCCACTCCCCAAGAGGTGGGGTTTGGAGTGTGGACCAGAGCTGAAGGCAAGCAGCTGGTGCTGAGGTTTTATTTCCCAATCTGCCTGCCATGCTGAAAAGGCTCTGGGAGCCCTGCCCAGGAAAAGGGAGAAGGGCACTGCGGAGTGCCCCAAGGGGGACCAGAGTCCAGGCCCTGAAGCTCAAAGTGTGGACTTCAATGGGATGGGGAGAGCAAGAGCTTCCCTTGTGGAACAGGAGGCAGTGCCGTGGTGGGGAGGCCTGGGGGGCAGGCGACCTGCCACTCAGGCGCTGGCCTGTGGCTCAGTATTGGTCCCAGGGCTGAGTGAGACGAGGGGGTGCCCATTGCTGTCATCAAATTAATGGCTAACAATCACGAACGCTTCATAGGGATTCACACTCCTGCAAGATGGATACCATTATTAAGACCCTCATTTTACAGATGAGGAAACTGAGTCCCAAAGAGGCTAAGAGCTTTGTGGAAGGTCACACAGCCTGTGGGTGGTGAAGCCAGGATTCAGATAACCCCTGATGGTCACCAGAGAGTGCACTTTTTTTTTTTTTTTTTTTTGAGATGGAGTCTCGCTCTGTCGTCCAGGCTGGAATGCAGTAGTGTGATCTCGGCTCACTGCAAGCTCCGCCTCTCAGGTTCATGCCATTCTCCTGCCTCAGCCTACCAAGTAGCTGGGACTACAGGTGCCCACCACCACGCCCAGCTAATTTTTTTGTATTTTTAGTAGAGAAGGGGTTTCACCATGTTAGCCAGGATGGTCTTGATCTCCTGACCTCATGATCTGTCCACCTCAGCCTCCCAAAGTGCTGGGATTACAGGTGTGAGCCACCATGCCCGGCCAAGAGAGTGCACCCTTAACCCCACCCAGGTGGCTCCAAAATGGAAGGCTGGCCAGAAAGGCATCTAGCTAGTGCCCAAGAAATACTGGATGAATGAATTCAATAAATTCATGCCTGGCCAGAAATCTCTCTCCCATGGGCCTCAGTGCCCAAAATTCCATCACTACAACTATGCGTCTGGTATCACCACCACCACCGCCCACGGCACTTCCCATCCCTGGGCTCAGTCAGTGATCAGAACTGCCAAGCCTGCAAGGGGAACATGATCACTCCATTTTACAGCGGAGAAAATGGGTTGAGAGGAAGTTAGTAACCAGAATCCAGACCTGACTGTATCACCCTAGGCTGCCTGCACTGTCTGCTGCGTTTGGAAAATGCAGGTGTCTCTGGGAAGGGTTGCACATCAGACATCATTGTCATTTATACCTGCCGGGAAGGGCATGTCAGTTGCTGAAGGTCACGATACTGAGCTAATGGGATAAGGGGGTATGACTGGAACACTGGGGGTCGGGAGAACGCAGGTGCGGTGAGGAGAGGATGAAGGGCAGGAAAAGGGAAGTGGAGTGGGGGTTGGAAGATAGACCTTCAGCACTTCTAGTTTTTTCTGCAACATCAGCAGCTTGAGAGGGAAGAACTGGTTCTGCCCTAGAGAGGCTGTGTGACCTCTGGGAGCCTTTGCCCTTTATAGAACCACTGGTGCCCTGAACTGTGTGTGCTTGGACAACTTCCCATCTGTGCACTTGGGCTCAAACAGAGGGAGGCTGCTATTCAGGCAGGATCGGGGCCCTCCGTACCTGCAGCCCCCACAGAGAATCTAGTGCTGCCCTCCACGGGAGGTGGGAGGCAGGCGGATGCTAATCGAACTTTTAAATAGAGTCAGACTTTGAAGACCTCTGCAGGCCCCCAAGGCACAGAGGCGGCCTCCTGATCTTAGGCCACCTGGGTGTCTGCAGCCCAGACTGGTCACAAGATCCCAGATGCCTGGGCCAGGTGGTGGCTCTCCCTGCTGCCTCCTCCATCCATCCCCAGCCTCTAAAGGGACATCCCTGTATGTGGATGAAGGAGAAGAAAGGCCAGTTTGCCAAGCCCCTCCGTGCGCCAGGCTCTTGTGGGTGCCTTACACACTTTCTCATTTCATCCTCTCAATAGCCGATGACACGGGAGCTTGGAAGGTGAAGTTGCTCCTCCAGAGTCGCTCAGCTGGGACACGGCAGAGCTGGGTTTGAATCCAGGCTAGGCAGCTCTTGCCTCTTCTGGCGCCTTGCTGAGGGAGGCCCTGCCCCAGCCTCAGTGACTGTTGGGGGAAGGGGACTGGTGGACCAGGCTTGGCCATGCCAGGCCAGCTTGTGGGTCCCCAGGGCCTCAGGCTCCTGCTTGGGGCTGGTGGCTCCTGTGAGGCCCTTTTCTCTGCAGGGACTTTTTTGTTTCACATCCTTGTGTCCAGGCCCAGAGGAGGAGAGGGAGGGAAGGACCAAGGGGAGGTCAGGTCAAGCCTGGGGAAAGTGCCCCCTGTTGTCCTGCAGGACTGAGGCCCAGGGGAGAGTTGTCAGCAGGGTCTGGGGTGTTGAGGGACAGAACCCTGCAAGACGCCATTAGCTGTGGTTCGGAGGCTGTCGGGCAACTGTGTGTGTGTTGGGAGCAACTATGGAAAAGGCTGGTGGCTGGGAGCAGGGGACGCTGACATGGAACTGCCTGCGACTTTTGGCTGGTTTGTTTCCCCTCCCTCAAGTCCTCCTTCCAGGCCCCAGGGACTCAGCAGGGTTTTTAAGGACAACGCTGTCTGCGGCTCCCCACCTGTCTGACTGGCTGGTTCCTCTGTCTCCCCTGTGCTCTCTCCCCGCTCTCGTGGGCCTGGGCGTTCCTGGACTTTCACGTGGGGCCTGCGCCCTGGGCCGTCTCTGGCAGGGCGCCACTGGCGCTTTCTCCTTCAGAGGCAGGAGGTGTGGCTGGGTCCTCAGGGGCCCCTGGGGTGGGATGTGAGGATGGGGCTGGGGAGGCTTCATCACAGGGACTGGGCACACTGGCAGCAGGTTCAGGGGTCTGGACCTTAGTGTCTGACTGTGGCTGGGCCGTGAGGTTCAGCTGTGGCTGGGCCATGGGGTTCAGCTGTGGCTGGGCCACAGAATCAGACTGTGGCTGGGCCATGGGGTTCAGCTGTGGCTGGGCTGTGGGATCTGATCGTGGCTGGAGTATGGGGTTCACCTGAGGCTGGGCCACAGGATCCATCTGTGGCTGGGCCTCTGCCATCGGCTCTGGCAGAGCTGGACCCTGAGAATCCAGCTGGGTCTGTGGCTCAGCTGGCGTGAAGCTGCCCGGCCGCTCCTCGCAGAGAGCTGCCGCGAAGGACGAGAGCACAGAGCGCAGCAGGGCCCGGAGGTCAGCACTGGCCATGAGGCAGAGGAAGGGGCTGAGGCAGCTGTTGAGCAGGATCAGGTAGTCGGAGTAGACCAGGGCTTCCCAGAGCAGGTAGCCGGAGTATATGTCCCACAGGAAGGCCAGGTAGAGCAGCTGGGCCAGCTGGTAAGGCAGCCTCAGGACCACGTAGGCTGACAGAATGGTCCTGGCCACACGGGCGAAGCCCCGGCAGGCTGCGGGCTGTTGTTGGCGGCGGCAGGTGCGACAGGCTGTGGCCTGGGTGAGCACATGGCAGACGAGCAGCAGGAGGAAAGGCAGGAAGCCCCCCAGGACCTCCAGCATCCGCAGCGACAGCTCCTCGCTGTCCCAGAAGTCCAGGCAGATGACCAGGTCGTACCACCAGACGGCGGCCTCAGGGAAGACCAGCCAGGGCACGCTGAAGAGTGTGGCCAGCACCCAGACCCCGGCGCAGACCCAGAGGGGCAGGCGGGCTGGGCGGTGCCCAGGGTACCAATGTGGGCACAGCGCCAGCAGGCAGCGGTCCAGGCTGAGGGCAGCCAGCAGGAAGAGGCCGGAGGAGTAGGACACGCCCCACAGGAAGTAGTAGAAGCGGCAGGCGGCTGTCCCCAGTGGCCAGTGCCCCCCATGCTGGATCTCCAGGATCTGGAAGGCCGCTGCCGCCAGGAACAAGAAGTCAGAGAGGGCCAGACTGAGCAGGAGCAGCGCCAGACGCATGCCCGCTCCATGCCGGGCCTGGGAGCCAGCCAGCCATGCCATCAGCCCATTGGCTGGCAGACCAAGGAGCAGCAGGGCCACCAGGAAGACCGTGTCCCAACCACCCTGGGGGTAGGAGTCTTCATCATCAAGCTCCGTGCGGGGCCCGTGGCCAGTGGCACCCAGGTTGGCTTCCATAGTAGTGTGCATTTGGGGTCCCTGGAGTCCTGCTGGACACGGAGTGGGTGCCTGGTGAATCAGTGATGGTGTGAATGACTGAGTATGGGAGAGACGGTGCTGTGTGTCTCCAGGCAAGTCGCCATCCCTCCCTGCGCCATTGTCATTGCCTTGTGGGTAGTTATCCTCTGCCACGGACTTCAAGTGGGTGACCTCATGGAGTCCTCATACAATCTACTTTACAGGCGAAGAGAGGAAAGTTCAGAGAATCAGTGAAGGTAGGAAGGGAGGTGCCAGGGCTCAACCCAGACTTTTCTTTCTTTTTTTTTTGAGAGACAGGGCCTTGCTCTATTGCCCAGGATAGAGTGTAGTGGCATAGTCCCTGCAGTCTCCACCTCCTGGGCTCCAGCGACCCTCCCATCTCAGCCTCCCTAGTAGCTGGGACTACAGGTGTGCACCCACTACTCTTAAAATTTTTAGTAGAGACATAGTCTCACTATGTTGCCCAGGCTGGTCTTGAACTTGTGAGCTTAAGTGATCCTCCTACCTTGGCCTCCTAAAGTGTTGAGATTACAGGCGTGAGCCACTGTGTCCAGCCAGACTTAATCTTCTGCCATGTGGAATGCCACTGTGTCCGGGTAGACTAACCTGGAGGCTTTCAAACATTGTTAATGGTATGGAATTTTGTCTTCAAGTAAAGTATTCTAAGGCTGGGCACGGTGGCTCACACCTGTAATCCCAGCACTTTGGGAGGATCACCTGAGGTTGGGAGTTCAAGACCAGCCTGACCAACATGGACAAACCCCATCTCTACTAAAAATACAAAATTGGCTGGCCATGGTGGCACATGCCTGTAATCCCAGCTACTCAGGAGAATTGCTTGAACCTGGGAGGCAGAGGTTTCGGTGAGCCAAGATCGTGCCATCGTACTCCAGCCTGAGCAACAAGAGCAAAACTCCGTCTCAAATAAAAAAAAGATTCTAGTGGAACTCCTATATGAAGTAAAAGGGGGTGCTCAAATTAAAGGAGGGAAGAGTACCCCCTACCCCCCTAAGGTTCCAGGGAACACAGTTTGAAGACCATTTGGTCTGCTCATCACAAGGCCCCTTTATACCTACTCTCCTGGGCTTCGAGTGTTTAAGATTACAGGAAGTGAGGGCTCTGGTTCCCATGGGCCCAGGGAACCCAAAGGTAGGGAGTCTGGGGCAGTGGGAACCCCCTCCCCTCCAGCGAGTGTCACTCATGGGCTCAGGATGAAGTCTGAGTCTCAGGACCCTGGCAGCCTGGGGCCAGGAGGGCTATCCTAGGAGCCCCTGGTGCCTCTCCAGCATCTTCCACACCACCGTGACCCTCTCCCGCTTCCCACTGCTCCGGCAGGTGGTGACCCCTGTTTGTCTCCTGGAGCTGCTAAACGGAGAAGGGGAGGGGCTCTGCAGCGGGATGGTGGTGGGATGGTGAGGGTGAGGGGAATTGGGGGGCACCCAGACCTGGGATCCAAGAGGCCTGCAGCCCCACCCCGCCCTCCCCCACTGGCAGAGGGGAGGGAGTTTCCTTTTGATGGCAACGAGAGCCCAGGTGGTGGTGCAGTCTGAGGAGGGAACAGATGCCCTGAAAGGCTGGCCCTGTCCATGGCCTATGGCTCCAGCCACTTGGCCTTTAGTTTGGTGCCCTCCATACTCCCAGGGTTCCTCCTCCAGGGTTCCTCCTCAGGCCGACCCCCTCTGCTGTCTCCATTCCCTACTGGATCAGAGCCCTGGGCACCCCCAGCCTGGGGCCCTGACCAGTGAGGGCTGGCTTACCTGGGAGATACAGGCCGATGGGTGGAAGGAGCAGGGCGTGCCTGCCTGCCCAGCGCTCCAGCTGTCCCCCCAGCCCTCACTGGGGCCTGCTGTGTGGCGCCTGGCGGCGCTAAGGCGGGTGGGCAGGAAACCCAAGCTGAGAGGACATCAATCATTCATGGGGCTGCTTGCCGGGAAACCCTAACCCTGGCCCAGTAGGGCCAAGTGACCAGCCAGACCCCCTCCCCCAGCTCTGATGGACCTGGACAGTCAGACCCTCCTCCTCAGGGCTTCTCCAGCCCAGGGCAGACTCTAAGACTCCAAGGTCCACCTCCTCCCACATCACCCGCCGTGCTCCTCAATACGGCATTCGAGACATCTGTGATCTGGCCTCTTTCTGCATTTCACACGCCCTCTGCTCTGGCCAGGATGTCACCCATCGGGGGCCCCACACTCGCTCATCCTTTCCCACCTCCCAGCTGTTGTCCACATGCCTCCTCCCGCCTGAGGTGCCTTCCCTGGTCCTCTCTGCCTAACGAAGGCCTCCGCCCATGTCACAACTGGGCTGAGTCTTCTGCACCCCGGCATTATTCCCCATGTTTTATAGATGGGGAAACTGAGGCTGGGAGGGGAATTTGCTGGATCCCCCAGCTAGTAAGTGGCAGATCTGGCATCTGAGGCTCATGGCAGCCACCACGTCCTGGTGCCCCTTGCTTCTGACCGAGGACAGTTCTCTGAACCCATCTGGCTCTGCCCTGGCCAGTCCTGAGGCAGAGGACTGGGATTAGGGCTGGGGCTGCCTGCCTCACTTACCCTAATCCCCCTCAGAGCCCGATCCTAGGCTCTCACCTCTAAGAGTGGGGGTGCATAAGCAGCTTTACGGGTCCTGAAAGTCAAGGGTGCCCAGGGGTGATTTGTCTCTGAGCTCTGTCATCCCTCCCCCATGGCCACAGAGCAGGCAAGGGGGCAGCACGGCCCAGACCCGGCCACTGGCCCTCAGAAGCCCCCTGCAGGGGTTGTGACTCCCAAGAGTGATGCAGAGGAGCCCCCGCTGACCAGGAAGAGGAGCAAGAAGAGGGGGCTCCGAGGGTCTCGAAAGCGCACTGGCAGCTCTGGGGAGCAGTCAGGCCCCGAGGCCCCGGGGAACAGCAATAACCCTCCGAGGACTGGAGAGGGCCCGGTGGGGGCACCCCCTGCATCCCCTGGGCCGGCCTCTTCTCGCCAGTCCCACCGACATCGTCCTGACTCCCGGCATGACGCTGCTCAGAGGACATACGGGCCCCTGCTCAATCGAGTCTTCGGGAAGGTTAGATGGGACCTGGGTTGGGCTGGGGGTCCTGGGGATGGGGCTGGAGACACACCCCTTGGGCTCAGCCCACCCTGCCCCTGAGAGGCCCTCTGCCTGTTCTGCCCCAGATTGAGCCTGGGCTGTGGGGCAGGGTTGCTGCGGTTTGGGGTAGGGTGGGTCTCAGGCCAGCGTGTGCGGTGGGCAGAGCCAGCATTCACACCAGGGCTGTGTGGGAGCTCCAGGCCCCAGGAGCACAAAAGGGAGCTTGCTCCTTCTGGGTCCCACGAGGCTTCAGCGTCCTTCTTCTACCCTGGTGGGGCTGGGCCCTGCCCAGACCAACATGAGCAGGGGATGGAGGAGGAAGGATGACAGAGCCGTGGCTGGCCCTGGGGATATCCTGGACTCTCCCTCTGCAGGACCGCGAGCTGGGCCCCGAGGAGCTAGACGGTGAGTGGCTCTTGTGGCTGGCAGGGGTGGGAGCTGTCCCTGAGTCTGGCTGCCTGGGCCTGACCTCCCTCCCCCACAGAACTTCAGGCCGCCTTTGAGGAGTTTGACACTGACCGTGACGGCTACATCAGCCACCGGGAACTGGGTGACTGCATGCGGACCCTGGGCTACATGCCCACCGAGATGGAGCTCCTGGAGGTCTCGCAGCACATCAAGATGCGCAGTCAGTGTGGGAGCCTGCCCGCCTGGGCAGCCTGCATGGTTCAGGGGGTTACGAGGGGCTGGCAGGTGGTGGCCCTTGGGAGTCCATTGGGGTGCTGGTGGGAGTGAGGGAGTGTGGCGGTGTCCAGGCGGGGGCACCGGGTTCAAGCTCCTGCCTCTCTGTGTGGGAAGGCAGGCCAGCAAGTCAGTCTGGAGACCCAGGAGAGCCCCTTGGGGCTCAGGTTCAGGACCCTGGCTCGGGATGTCTGTTGCCATGGCCGCTGTACACATTTGCTCCTTCCACCCAAGCCCTTCCTGCCTCGCTGACCCAGAAGCTCCTGACTCAGTGATAGAGTGCTTTCCACTGATAGCAGTCACCTGGCACCCTTTCCTTCTCTCTCTCTGTGACCCTGCCTCAGCCCTGTGCCCTGGTGGCAGCTGCCTGAATTGGGGTTGCCCTGATGCGAGAGGACCCCAGCCACGCCTTGCGACTCAGTGTCTGATGGCAGGCACTGTGTGGTTCCCCTTCGCTGGTCTGTCCTCAGACAAATCTCATATTCACTTCATTCCAGGACTCCGGCATTTTTTCCATATAATTTCCAAAGTGGGGATGTGATTTACAATTGAGGTGGACATTTAGTGTCATGCTTCTTTTCTGTCCCCAAAGCAGTTGTGTGACCATGAGTGCTTTGTGTGACTGATGGCATCTTAGAACTGAGGCACAGACCGCATGTGTGTGTTCAGAAGTGGCATTTATTGCTGCCCACTGGGCTCCAGTACTTCATGGCCATGAACTTGAACCCCATGGAGTAGGCTCCTCGCCCCACTCCTAGGATGAGGAAGGGAGGGTCAGTAAGTCAGCCAGTGCCACGCACATCAACAGCAGGGCCAAGATTTGCACCGGGCACTATCTGGCTCCAAAGCCTAGTCTCTTCCTCGCACACTTGGGTTCTTTGCTAAGAGCAGAAGCAGCCCCGGCACCCCAGCAGCCAAGGACGGGGGTTCCGGCCTCCTATCTGCTGCAAGCGTGGACAGGGGTTTCTTCCTAGGTGCAGAGCCTGGGGGTGGGGCCTGTGGGATGTCCCTCCTTTGACTTCAGCCCTTATGCCCTCACCATTGTGACACTCTTCCTGGGTCCGCAGTGGGTGGCCGTGTGGACTTTGAGGAGTTTGTAGAACTGATAGGCCCAAAGCTGAGGGAGGAGACGGCGCATATGCTGGGGGTGCGAGAGCTGCGCATCGCCTTCCGAGAGGTGCGGAGTGTGGTGAGGTGGGCAGAGGGGGGCAGGGCTGGGTGGCATCCTTGCTGGCCTCTCACTCAGGTCTCAGCCTTGGGAAGGCCCAGAGCCCTGCAGGAGTTGGGACTGGGGCCCAGGGATGGGTCAGAGAGGGTTCAGCTCACTCTCAGCTAGGGGATCCATCCAGGAGGACTTCCTGGAGCAGGAGGCAAACCACCTTGGTGTGGGAAGATGGGGAAGGTGTGCATGGGCAGAGATGGTGGGTGGGGGAGCATCTAGGTACAGGCAGTGGTAAGAGTGGAACTGGCTGGCCAGATGCGGTGGCTCAAGCCTGTAATCCCAACACTTTGGGAGGCCAACATGGGCAGATCACCTCAGGTCAGGAGTTCGAGATCAGCCTGGCTAACATGGCGAAACCCCATCTCTCTTAAAAATATAAAAATTAGCCGAGGGTTGTGGTGGGCACCGGTAATCCCAGCTACTCAGGAGGCTGAGGCAGGAGAATCACTTGAACCCTGGAGGCAGAGGTTGCAGTGAGCCGAGATTGCGTCACTGCACTCCAGCCTGGTGACAGAGCAAGACTCTATCTCAGAATAAATAAATAAATAAAATTAAAAAATAGATAAAAAATAGAAAAAATAAAAATAAAAAATAAAATAAAATGAAATAAAAAATAGAAGAGTGGAGCTGGCTGCAGGCTGAGGCAGCTTTGGGTGGGAGGGGCTGAGCCTTGCCGGGACCTTAGTTTGACAGGGACAGGGATGGACGAATTACGGTAGCGGAGCTGCGGGAGGCTGTACCGGCTCTGCTCGGGGAGCCGCTGGCGGGTCCTGAGCTGGACGAGATGCTCCGAGAAGTGGACCTCAATGGAGATGGCACCGTAGACTTTGACGGTGAGTCTCCTTCCCAGAAAACCCTCCCGTCCTTCCAGGGCCCAGGCTGAGCCCAGCACCTCCTGGGATCCCTGACGTGGACCGGCCCAAGCCCTGCCCTTCTCTCCCGCAGAGTTTGTGATGATGCTTTCCCGCCACTGAGGCTCCAGGAGGGAATGTCTGTTGCCCCTGCGGCCCCAGACACCGGCCAGACCCAGACTACAGCCCTCCCGCAGGAGCCTCCAGGATGGAGATGGAGGAGACCCAGCAGCCCCCAGACTTCTTCTGTCCCTGAAAACACCTGGCCTCGAGGTCTGCTTGTTATGTTACCCACCCATCCTCATCCTTACCTCCCCCTACTCAAGCTGCCTGGAGAAGACCTGCCCTCAGCTGTCCACCGTTCCTCAGTGTGAGCAAGATTTGGGTCTCTCCAGACCCCTGGGAGGTAGGGAGTTCCCTGGCACTGGTGGCATTCAGTGGGGACGCCCCAGTGGCATGATGAATGGAGAGGATGGCTGGACCCCTCCCACTACTTATATTTATAGGTTTTTTTTTATTGAATGAACTTGAGCCCGGTGTGGTGGCTCACACCTGTAATCCCAGCTGTTAGTGGGGCAGAAGCGGGAGGACAGCTTGAGTCCAGGAGTTTGCGACCTGCCTGTGCAATATATTGAGACCCCCATTCTCCACAAAAAGGAGAAATAAAAGACAAAAAACAAACAGGCCGGGCGCGGTGGCTCACGCCTGTAATCTCAGCACTTTGGGAGGCCGAGACGGGCGGATCACGAGGTCAGGAGATCAAGACCACCCTGGCTAACACGGTGAAACCCCGTCTCTACTAAAAACACAAAAATTAGCCGGGTGTGGTGGCGGGCGCCTTAGTCCCAGCTACACGGGAGGCTGAGGCAGGAGAATGGTGTGAACCCAGGAGGCGGAGCTTGCAGTGAGTAGAGATTGCACCACTGCACTCCAGCCTGGGTGACAGAGTGAGACTCCGTCTCAAAAAACAAACAAACAAACAAACAAACCCAAGCGTAAAAACAGCGAGCTTGAAAGAAAGAAAGGGATGGCTCCATGTATCAAAGACAAAGAAATCGAAGCTGGGGTTGCAGGAGTGAGCTGACCCTGAGGGGTTTCAGATCCGCCTAGAGGCTTGGGCGCCTGGACTCCTACACCCATGAGTGACAGAAGAACCGTAGGAGTGTGGGGAGCAAGAAACAAACCCCCTGGATACATTCCAGGGTCTCCAAAGGCTAAGATATTAATCTGTCTGCACTGACCAGTTGGAGAAAGTGGCAAGGAACAGATGTTCAGGGCCGGGAGTGGAAACAGCTACCCTAAAGAGCCTGGAACTCCAGGGCCTGCCCTTCAAGCAGGAGTGTGGTCTCTCTCCAGGGTGTGAAAAGCTAAAAAAACTGGAAAAAAACCCTGCTGCTCCCAAAGGGGAACTTGTGATAAAAACTACAGATTATTGGGCCAGGAGTGGTGGCTTACACCTATAATCCTAGCACTTTGGGAGGCTGAGGCAGGTGAATCACCTGAGGTCAGGAGTTCGAGGCCAGCCTGGCCAACATGGTGAAACCCCATCTCTACTAAAAATACAAAAATTAACTGGTCGAGGTAGCACACACCCGTAATCCCAGCTACTCAGAGGCTGAGGCAGGAGAATCGCTTGAGCCTGGGAGGTGGAGCTGCAGTGAGTTGAGATCACGCCATTGCACCCCAGCCTGAGTAACAGATCGAGACTCCGTCTCAAAAACAAAACAAAACAAAAAAAACCCTACAGATTATAAAAGTAAAGAAACTACCACGAAGGAGACGAGGCAGAGACAAAAACAAGAGGACTGGCATATCAGTGTACATAATACAACCGCCTAAGAGACCACAAGATACATGCAAATAAAAGAGGGCTAAAAGGAGAAGAGAGATTAACATGCAGTAACAGAATAACATCAACAGAGAACCGGAAGATTTAAAAAGTAACCCAACAGGCCAGGTGTGTGGCTCATGCCTGGAATCCCAGCACTTTGGGAGGCCAAGGTGGGCGGGTTGCTTGAGCTCAGGAGTTCGAGACCAGCCTGGGCAACATGGTGAAACCCTGTCTCTACTAAAACTACAAAAATTAGATGGGCGTGGTTGTGCTTGCATCTGTGGTCCCAACTATTCTGCAGGCTGAGGTGAGAAGATCGCTTGAGCCCAGGAGGCAGAGGTTGCAGTGAGCGGAGATCACACCACTGCACTCCAGCATGGGTAACACAGTGAGAATCTGTCTTTAAAAAAAAAAAAAAAAAAAAGCCACGGCTTCTGTTAAAAAAAAAAAAAAAAGAAAAGAAAAAAAAAGAAAAAAAAATATAGGAATGAAAAAATAATGGATAAGCTAAACAGCAGATTAAACACAATTTAAAAATTAATCAAGAAGCTATATCTAAGAGGTCACTTATAATGTAACACTGAGAGACAAGATGGAAAATATTAAAGGGTAGGTAAAAGTCACTAGAAGACTGGGTGTGGTGGCTCATGCCTGTAATCCCAGCATTTTGGGAGGCTAAGGCAGGAGGATCACTTGAGGCCAGGAGTTTGAGACCAGCCTGGCTAGCAGCAAGACCTTGACTCTTGTATTTTTTTTTTTTTTTTTTTTTTTAGTAGAGACAGGGTTTCACCATGTTGTCCAGGATGGTCTCGAACTCCTGACCTTGTGATTCACCTGCCTCAGCCTCCCAAAGTGCTGGGATTACAGGTGTGAGCCACTGCGCCAGACCCTGACTCTTAAAAAAAAAGAAAAAAAAAAAAAGGCTGGGTGTGGTGTGTGGTGGCTCATGCTTGTAGTCCCAGCTATTCAGGAGGCTGAGGTGAGAGAATCACTTGAGCCCAGAAGTTGGAGGCTGCAGTGATCATGCCACTGCACTCCAGCCTTGGTGACAAAGCGAGACCCTGCTTCAAAGAAGAAGACAGATAAGTCCTTGGGGGTCTCAGGTGGAGGAAATATATAGAGAATGAGCGATAAGCAATAATCAAAGAGATAATGGCTGAAATTTTTCCATAAAGACTTCCACAGACTTCAAGTCCCCAGACTGAAGGAACAAACTGAAGCCAGAGTAGGGTAAATAAAAATAAATGTATATGCCGGGTGCGGTGGCTCACACCTGTAATCCCAGCACTTTGGGAGGCTGAGGTGGACGGATCATGAGGTCAGGAGATCAAGACCATCCTGGCTAACACGATGAAACCCCCTCTCTACTAAAAATACAAAAAATTAGCCAGGCGTGGTGGCGGGCGCCTGTAGTCCCAGCTACTCGGGAGGCTGAGGCAGGACAATGGTGTGAACCCGGGAGGTGGAGCTTGCAGTGAGCCAAGATCTCGCCACTGCACTCTAGCCTGGGTGACAGAGCGAGACGCCATCTCAAAAATAAATGAATGAATGAATAAATAAATAAGCATATATCTGGATATATCCTATTGAAACTGCAGAAAAAGCAAATCTTATTAAAAAAAGAGCTGCTCACACAACCTGCTGTCAAAGTTTATAGTGCAAAGTCAAGTTATCAACAAATGAGTGAGGCTATGTCGGAAATTTAATAAATAATAGTAAAACTTCATTTATTGACATGGAAATTTGAATATTATATAATTTTGTTATAAAATCTTATTATTTGACTTTTCTCCAACCATTACAAAATATAAAAACCATTCTGTGGACTATACCTTGCTGATTCCTAATGCAGACTTCTAATGATGTAAATCACCACTTCTGAAATTGCTTTCTGTTAGGATTGTAGAATGAAGTCTGGTGAGGTGGCTCAGGGGTTGGAGACCAGCCTGGCCAACATAGTGAAAACCTGTCTCTACTAAAAATACAAAGATTAGCTGGGCATGGTGGCATGTGCCTGTATCTTAGCTACTGGGAAGGCTGAGGCATGAGAATCGCTTCAACTGGGAGAGGATGCAGTGAACCGAGATTGTGCCACTGCACTCCAGCCTGGGACACAGTGAGACTCGTCTCAAAAAAAAAAAAAAAAAAAAGAAAAAAAAAAGAATGATAAGTTGTTAGTTGCGATTCTGTGTTAATTGCCATTTGTTAATATTCAATGATTTTTGTCATTTTTCCTTTTTCCTATGTTTCTTCTGATTATATTTATTGAAATGTAATTTTATGTCTAACCTGATAAACTGTGGGCTTGTATTCTGTATTTTTATTTATTTTTTTGAGACAGAGTCTTGCTCTGTCGCCCAGGCTGGAGTGCAGTGGCGCAATCTCAGCTCACTGCAACCTCTGCCTCCCGGGTTCAAGCGATTCTCCTGCCTTAGCCTCCTGAGTAGCTGGGATTACAGGCGTGCACCACCACACCCGGCTAATTTTTTTGTATTTTTCATAGAGATGGGGTTTCACCCTGTTGGTCAGGCTGGTCTGGAACTCTTGATCTCGTGATCCACCTGCCCCGGCCTCCCAAAGTGCTGGGATTGCAGGCATAAACCACCATGCCTGGCCTCTGTATGTTTATTATTTCATTTTTCTAGTTTTTAAAATTTCTGTTTTTATTATTATTTTTTGAGATAGATCTCACTCCGTCTTCCAGGCTGGAGTACAGGGGTACAATCATGGCTCACTGCAGCCTCCCAGGCTCAGTGATCCTTCCACCCCAGCTCCCCAAGTAGCTGGGACTATAGGCGCCCAACCATGCCTGGCTAATTTTTGTATTTTTTGTAGAGATGGGGTTTTGCCATGTTTCCCAGGTTGGTCTCGAACTCCTGGGCTCAAGTGATCCTCCCACCTTGGCCTCTCAAAGTGCTGGGATTATAGGCATGAGGCATCACACCCGGCTAGTTCTTCTTATGAAAGTACCAGACCATGACAGATTAGAAATAAAAACTAGTCCTTTACCACAGCTAGTTGGAAGACCACTGGTTTAGGAGTTCCTGCATCCAATGGGTACCCCCAAAGTGCCTTGAATGGGGGTTGAGGGTGGGAAGTCTGTGGGGCCTGGAAAGGTGGGAGCGACAGCAGGAGTCTAGGTGTCCATTCATCTAACTCAGAACCCTGAAGGCCCCGCTGTGTTGGGTGCTGCAGTGGTTCGTGGGACCCATGTTTCGGTGGGGGAGATAGACTGTGCAGGCAGGTGCACCAACAGGGCCTCCCAACTCTTGCTCACTCAGCCAGCCTCTTGGTTGGCTGGTAGGGGAGACCAGCTCAGTGCTGGTTTCCTTCTCCCTCCCCCACAGTGTCATGGGAAGAGCCCTGGGTTATGTTCCTAATTCTAGCTACCACCTGCTGGCTGTCCTTGGGCGAGTCAGTCCTCATCTGTAAAATGGGACTGAGGTAATGAAAATCACGAGATATAACCCGTGTTCACTGCTTAGCGCAGGGCCTAATCCTTTTTTTTTTTTTTTTTTTTTAAATAGAGATGGGGTCTCACCATGTTATCCAGGTTGGTCTCGAACTCATGGGCTCAAGCGATCCTCCGACCTTGGGCTCTCAAAGTGCTAGGATTACAGGCTTGAGCCACTGCGCCAGGCCATCCTGGTGCCTTTTAACAACTTGATAACTGGTAGCTACTATGATCTCAGATTTCAGGCTTCTCAAAGATTCTGTTTCTTGGTTCCTAAGATTCTGAAATGCTCTGATTTTCCAAAATTCTGAGATGGTTTGTTTCTAACATTCTGCGTTTCCAAGTCTTTGATCACTGAGGGTGTCTGTCAGACACGGCTTCCTATGCCCTCTGCCCCCAGGTTCTCCCAACCTCTGGGACTGGGAAGGAAGGCAGTGGGTGGAGGGGGCTGGGCCGCTGCCTTGGCATGGCCCACATTCAGGGCTGGCTGTGGCAGCCCAGGGCCCCAGAGCCAGGCTGGAACTAGGATACCAGCCTCCAGGCCCCAGGCCTGCGTCATCTCTGAGTGCTCTCGGCCAGGGCCACCAGACAGAGACAGGCTGGTTGAATCATCCAAGGGCTGGGGGTGGGGCAGGCTGTTCTGGCTGCCTCCTGGCTGGCAAGGCAGGCTTTCTACGGCCAGCTCTGCCCCTAACATGCCCCGTACCTTTGGGCAAGCCTCAGCATCAGGGCTGCCACGCATTTGGTGGTACTCCAAGCCCTTCAGCCTCAGGGTCAGTCCTTGGGAGGGGGGCTGTGGTCAGGCTGGTGGGCTGGGCTAGTGGTGGCAGGGCAAGAGGAGAGCAATTGCCTCTGGTGGAATTAACTACTCTTTTATTAGCACAAAATAATAGCAACCTAGCAGCCGCACGGCCCGAGAATAAGTTAAGGCACAGAGCAGGCGAGGGGCGGCTTTCCCAGGGCCAGGCCTGCATTCCCCAAACTTCCTGAGCAAACTCCCTAGGGGCTGGGGTTTCGAGGGCCCTGGAGGGCCTCTTCCCTTGAGATGAGGGGAACGGAACAGGGCGTGGGTCAGAGAGACGCCCACGTGGATGCAAGGAGTCCACGCTGCGCCGCGGTCACTTCTCGAAGTAGGGCAGGTAGAAGAACTGGAAGCCCCGGTGGCCCTTGACCGCGCAGTAGATGAAGATCACGTGATAGACTGTGGGGCGGGGCCTGTCAGCGCAGAGGCCCCTCCCCTCCCCACAACCCCGCCCTCAGTCCCGCTCCGCAGCCCCTCCCCTCCTCTCCCCGCGGCCCCGCCCCTTCTGGCCCGGTGCCCGCTCCCACCTCCAGGCACCAACAACAGGAAGCCCGGCACGAAGAAGATGGCGCTGGAGACACCTGCGGGAGGGACCACAGCCCGGTCAGGGCAAGGGGGCGGGGGCTGCGAGGCCTTCCGGCCTGCCGCTGACTGCCCGGGCAAGCCTCTCTCCCGGCTGAAAAGTGGCCGTGTACTGCCGGGAGGTGGGAGGGCTTGCCGTGGACCCGTGGACACAAGACAGGGGTGTCCTCTGCATGTGGGGGCGGGAGGGTCGCTCACCTGGAGAGGGGGTCGCCTCCAGTCCCACGCCGACCAGGATCAGCACTGCACACAGACGGAGCCGCAGGGGTGGGGGCAGGAGCAGTGGTGAGGGCGGGGGCTCCCACCCCCAGCCCGGCTCAGCCCTAAGGAATGATGCCCCCCACCACCTGAGCTGAAGGTGCCCTAGGCAGAGACCCTCTCCAGGAAGCTCACCAAGCTCTGTTTCCAGAGCAAGGCACTGAGCAGGCCCTGGGAAGTGTGTGAAACTTGAGAGATTTTTATTTGCTCCTTGGGGTGGGCTTTTAGTCATTCAACAAACATTTATGGAACACCTACTGAGTGCCTGGTACTGGGAATTCCGCCCTGAAGGGCAGAAAAGGTCCCTGCCCTCATGGCCCATCCTTAGTGGAGGAACCAATAAGAACCTGAAAGTTAACAGTACAGGTGATCGGGATATGGGTGGTAAGAAGAGGGCAGTGCAGGAGTCGGGGGTCCCCAGTTAGAAGAGGGATGGGGGAATGAGGAGCTGGACTTTGGGCTCTGCAACAAGGGTGGGTAGTAAGCCTGGGGGAATGGGGGGCCACCATGGACTGCTGTGTGCTTTGTGCATTGGCCCGCCTACTTCTTCTTCTTTTTTTTTTTGTTTAGACAGAGTCTCGCTTTGTCACCCAGACTGGAGTGCAGTGGCCGGATCTCAGCTCACTGCAAGCTCCGCCTCCCGGGTTCACACCATTCTCCTGCCTCAGCCTCCCGAGTAGCTGGGACTACAGACGCCCGCCACCTCGCCTGGCTAGGTTTTTGTATTTTTTAGTAGAGACGGGGTTTCACCGTGTTAGCCAGGATGGTCTCCATCTCCTGACCTTGTGATCCGCCCGTCTCGGCCTCCCAAAGTGCTGGGATTACAGGCTTGAGTCACCACCCCCGGCCATCTCTATTATTATTAAAAAAAAAAAAAAAAAATGTCCCTAGTCCCAGCTACTAGGGAGGTTCAGCTGGGCGGATGGCTTGAGTCCAAGCGTTTGAGGCTGCAGCGATCATACCACAGCTCTCCAGCTTGGGCAACAGAACAAGACCCCATCTCTAAAAAAATAAAAAGGGCTGGGCATGGTGGCTCACGCCTGTAATACCAACACTTTGGGAAGCCAAGGCGGGTGGATCACCTGAGGCTAACATGGTGAAACCCCACCTCTACTAAAAAAATACAAAAAATTAGCCAGGTGTGGTGGTGGGCGCCTGCAATCCCAGCTACTCTGGAGGCTGAGGCATGAAAATTCCTTGAACCCAGGAGATGGAGATTGCAGTGAGCTGAGATTGTGCCACTGCACTCCTGCCTGGGTGACAGAGCAAGACTCCTTCTCAAAAAAAAAAAAAGGGGGGAGGGGTATAGGGTATGATGGGGGCTGAAACCCACTCCCTGCACCCTAGAAAGGCCCTCTAAGGAGCTCTGGTAGCCCCAGACTTGCCTTGCTGGGTTGAGAGGGGACAAATGAAAGAACTTGGCAGCACTACCAGGGCCGGTGTGCAGCGGTGCCGGGAAGTGGCAGCCCCCTCCCATGCACTCAAACACCCAGAGAGGCGGCCAGATTGTGTGCTGGGGGCCTGGCTGGCTAGGAAGCCTTGCCTTCCTGGAGAAGCAGAGAGATGAGCCAGGGTAGCAGCCACAGTTGGTCCCTCCTTATGGGTCACTTGTGACCCCAACCCTGGATCCTTTCTGGGGACTCTGCCTCCTCTACCCCAAAGAACAAGGTGCCTGGGAGCCAGAGGACACCTGGTGTGAGATCTGCCTGCTCTGGACCAAAAGTTCCCCCATCTGAGCAATGGGTAGGAGAGGGGTGCTTGTCAGCGCCTAGATGCCAGATAAGGGGAAGTGCCAGGTGCCCTGTGGCTCTGCACTGGCTGGGAACTCGGCATCCCTGAGCCCCTACACGTGGCTCTTCTGGGCACCACCTCACTTGTGGGACTTCTGTAAGGTGGGAAAATAAAACTGCCCTGTACCTTGCCCAAAGTAGACACAGAATAAATGGTAGCTGCTACTCTTCTGTCCTCTAATGGATTAAACAGGTTAAATTTTTTAAAAAAGGAAAAGTCTCTGGAGTGATAAGCCAGGTTCCATTTTCAGCTATGTGTGATTTCCTGACTGTGTGCCCAGGTTGCAAGGCCTCTGTCTCCTCACCTGTAAACTGGGGCTGTGATGATGGCAGCCAGCTGCCCCCTCAGGATGCTGGGAGGCTCAGTGTCAAGGGGGAGGCAGAGCCTGAACAAAAGGAGGGCAGAGCCTCCCACGGGGCCCCTCTTGACTCCAACCCTCAGGGCCACTCACCCAGCCCCAGCAGCAGGAGCAGGAAGGAGGCCAGCACCACTCGACGGTTCTTCTGGATCAAAGGGTGTTGGGTCCAGCTGGGTGGCAGGAGAGCAGGGTGAATGTGAAGGAGGTGGAGGGAGGGGGTGCAGGAGGCTGCAGGGGTAGAGCCAGGGCTGCTTGGCTGGGGGCTCAGGTGGGCAGGCTCACCTGCAGCAGGTGTTGTAGGAGCGCTGGGTGCCGCTGCTGATGGTGCTAAAGGACCACTGGGAGCTGCGGATGGAAGTTCGGCCGGAATCCCTGCAGGACAGGCACCCAGTGAGGGGCAGGGAGGCAAGGATGGGGTCGCTTTGGGACAGAAGTCCTGATGAAGTACAGGGTGTGGTGCAGGGACTGGGGCTGGCCCCTTGCAGGACAGTGGACTCTGAGAGGCCTCGGTGGGTGAGGATGAATTTAGGGACTGGGGATGAGCTAGGGGTGTCTTTAGGACAGGTGACCTATATGAAGGTGGGGACCAGACCAGACTAGGGGTTTCTGAAAGAGGTGAGTACAGCTGGGCACTAGGGTAGGGTGACCCTGCAGTGTAGGGGACCCTGTGAGGAAAGTGAGGGTCAGACTAGGAATCAATAGGACGGGATGGAAGTGAGTGAAGTGGGGTGGGCGACTGAGCAGGGTCCCTGGGGATAGGAGCTGGGGCTGGGGTACAGGGTTGGGTCCCCACCTGGCCCTAACCTGGTGCTGACTCCCCCATCCGGCTCCGGAGAGATCTGGGCTCCATCCTCATCGTTCTCCAGGTTCTGTTGCAGAACACAGGTCTCAGGAGGGTTGCTAGGCTGGGGCCCTTCCTCATCCCTTCCCAGGGAGAGACAGCAGGCCTACACAACCATTTGCCTGGCCGCCTGGCAGCTGCTCACCTGGCCCTCCGCCCTCCCTGCAGAACGGGTTTGGTGAATCACAGAAACCAGGTAGGAGGTGGGTGGATGCCAGGGCTTTGGGGAACAGGAGCCTGCACAGGTCCCAGGGAAAGGAGAGCTCCCAACTTTGGGAGTCAGGGTGGAGCTCTCATTCAGTGGCCTAGAATGGGAACTTGGGAATTAGGGTGCCAGGGAAGGCCAGGCCCAGGGTTCCCAGGTTGAAGGTACAGGGATCTGGTCCAGGTCTCCAAGAAAAGCAGCCTAGGGTTGGTGGAGGTTTTCTGGGAAAATGGGGATTGATTTCTGGTTTAGTGGGAGCCAAAGGGTGGGCAAGGACTGGTCATGTCAGAGGGGCTCCAGCTCTTAGGGGTGATAGTGGGATTAGGGTGACGGCTTTCAGAATAGAGAAAGGCGTGCGGGTTCCCATCAGCTTAGCTGGCCTGGGGCACAGGGGATGCTCCTGCGTGTGGGCAAGGTCTGGTTCAGATACAGAGGAGCTCCCCCAACCCAGCGGGGGCCAGGGGCGATACCCAGGATGAGTAGGGAATCGGCTGGGTTCCCCAGCTGGAGCTGAGGGATGAGCTCCTGGGCCTGGGCTGTGGACTCTTCCCGGCTGGCTGGGGCCCAGCATCGGAACTGGGAGGGCCTGGGCAGGGCTGTGGATCAAGAGTCACGTCCGGGGGTGGTGGGGGGCGGTCTCGCATTTCAGCTGGGGCCTCTAGGCAGATTCTCCCCCGAGTTGAGGCCTTTGGGGCCCGGCCTGGGGTCCCGTCCGGCCGGGGACAGGGGGTGAGGTGGGCCGGGCGGTTCACCTGGTAGCGCAGCCGGGACTGCTTGTCCTCGTCAGCCACCTCGAACCGGGCCCGACGCTCGAAGTGCAGCGGCCCAAAGCGCGCGACCCCGCTGGACTCGGGCCCAGGGCCCGCGTCCTCCAGGGACAGCTCGAAGGCATCATCAATGCTGAACTGGGGCCGGGCGGCGCTCATGGCCCCAGCCCGCTCAGGCGCCGTGCGCCGCCGCCATCTGCGCCCACACGCCCAGCGTCGCCGCGGCCCCGCCCCCACATGCCCCGCCCCTCCGGCCATGGCTCCGCCCCACACGCCGGCACCGCCCCCGTTCGCCCTAAGCAGGCCAGAGCTGCCGAGCGCCGAGCGGGCCGATGGGTGGGAGCCTCTTCAAGACTGAGCGCTCCTGGCCAGTGACGCCACTCAGTGGCCGCCATGGCGAGCGACAGCCGATGCCGGGCTCTGACACAGCCCCCAGACCTGTAGGTGGGGGCCTTGGAGGGGCTTCCACGCCCCAACCTCCAGGACCCTGACAGGGCCTTTTGCACCGCAGCGTGTTCCTCGAGTGCCAAGGAGACTCCTGGAAACTGTTTCCCCACCTTACTCACAACAGCCCTGAACCGCAGAGGTACTCTCCCCATTTTTGCAAATGTGGAAACCGAGACTCAGAGAGCTTATGTGTCTTCCACTTCTCCAGTCCAGTCTTCACGCAGCAGCCCAAGTGATCTTTTAAAACGAATCTTTTTATCTCTGTGTTATTCTTAAATGAAACCTTTTTTAAAAATTATGCTGCTGGCCGGGCTCGGTGGCTTACTCCTGTAATCCCAGCACTTTGGGAGGCCGAGGCGGGTGGATCACTTGAGGTCAGGAGTTCCAGACCAGCCTGGCCAACAGGCGAAACCCTGTCTTTACTAAAAACACAAAAAGTAGCCGGGCGTGGTAGCGCATGCCTATAGTCCCAGCTACTTGGGAGGCTGAGGCAGAAGAATTGCTTCAACCCAGGAGGCAGATGTTGCAGTGGGCCGAGACTGAGCCACTGCACTCCAGCCTGGGCGACAGAGCAAGACTCCGTCTCAAACAAAACAAAACAAAACAAAACAAAACAAACAAACAAAAAACCTTCCCTTGGTTTTCCATTGCACTTAGAATAAAATCTGAACTCTTGGCAGGGCATGTGGCTCACACTTGGGGAGGCCGAGGTGAGTGGATCACTTGAGGTCAGGAGTCCGAGACCAGCCTGGCCAACACGATGAAACCCAGTCTCTACTAAAAATACAAAAATTAACCGGGCACGGTGGCCTGTGCCTGTAATCCCAGCTACTTGGGAGGCTGAGGCAGGAGAATCGCTTGTACCCTGGAGGCAGAGGTTGCAGTGAGTGGAGATACCACTGCACTCCAGCCTGGGCAACAAAGCAAGACTCCGTCTAAAAAAAAAAAACAAAAAACCATGGGGACTGGTGAGGGTGAGGGTGGAAGAGAGCAGAAAGCAGAAATGCTCTGTGAATTAGGTTGGCCTGGGTTCAAATCCCCATTCTACCACTTGGAAGTATTTGGGACTTTGGCAAACCCCTCATTCATTTCTGCCCCAAGTATTTATTAAACATCTATTCAGGGCCAAACACTGTTTTGGGTACTATAGATACAGTGGTGAATAAAACAGTGCAAAATGAGACAATTTCAAGTGCTGTGTGATGCAAAACTGACTTTAGATTCCGCCGTCAGATGACCTTTCCAAGAGGTGACATTTGAGCAGGAATGCCGATGATGAAGGAGCCAGCTCTGAGAAAAGCTAGGTTCAGTGTTTTCCTGGCACCAGGGAACAGCACGTGCAAGGGCCAGGAGGTGGGAAGGAGCTTGGCCTGTGGAGGAAGAATGTGAGAAAGCCAGTGAGGCTGAGCAGCGAGGAAAGGGGAGGGGTGACCTGAGCCTGGGAGGAGTAGACGGGCCCGAGAGCCTTGAGAGCTTTGTGGACCTTAGTCAAGAGTTAAAATATTATTATTATTTTTTTTGAGACAGAGTCTCGCTCTGTTGCCCAAGCTGGAGTGCAGTGGCGCGATCTCAGCTCACTGCAACCTCCGACTCCTAGGTTCAAGTGATTCTCCTGCCTCGGCCTCCCAAGGAGGCTGGAATTACAGGCATGAGCCACAGCACCCTGCCTAACTTTTTGTTTTTCTTTTGAGACAGAGTCTCGCACTATCACCCGGGCTGGAGTGCAGTGGCAAGATCGTGGCTCGCTGCAACCTCCGCCTCCTGGGTTCAAGTGATTCTCCTGCCTCAGCCTCCCATGTAGCTAGGATTACAGGCGTGAGTCGGATTATAGGTATGAACCACCACACCCAGCCTCCATGGTTCATTTTATGGCCTCATATACAGAGCTGAGTCAAGTCTACTTCTCAGTTTGTTACACATCAACACTATGAACAAGGGCCCCCTCGAGTTACATTAATTCACTTTCCCTCTTTCACTTCCCAGCTTCCTTCCTCTCCCCTGCCATCCATCAGACCCCATGTCAGCACGCTCAGTCGGCGTCCTTGAAACCTGCCTGGCTCTGTACCATGCATGGCACTGTCTCTTATGTGGATGTGTTTGTAATTTTCATGCCTGATGTCATGCAGGAAATTCAATTCTGTTATTTACACATTTACATTTTCGCTCTCGATGCTGTTTTCCACATGCATCTTGTTTGTTGTTTCTACAAGCTACATGCATGTTATACCATGTTGAGTATCTAGCACCTTTATGATCCACCTCACCTCCACAGTGTTGCACACTCAAACTGGCCTCAACCCCGCCATCACAGGCATCCCTGCAGTTAACATCTTCCTGCTGTCCCGTTATGGACTGTGGGAGAATTCCCCTTGGAGTGGGATTTCCAGGATAGAGTACACGCACTCATGACTTCACAAAGTACCACAGATGCTCTCCTGAGTGGCTGTGAGAGTTGACGCTCGACCTGGAGGCTTCTGGTTCTCTCAGGACTTGGTACCATCCAACTTTTTAATGGCTTGCTGATCTGATGAATTTAAAGTGGTACCTCATGTTCCTCTGAGTTCTCTGATGGCTGGAGAGTTTGAGCCACTCTTTGTGCCCTTGTCAGCCATTGGGATTCCCTCATCTGTGAACTGGCTCTTCATATCTTTTGTCCTTCTTTTTGCTATTGGGTTTCTAGCCTTTTTCCTACTAATTTGCATATCTAATATCTAATCATTAATTCCTTGCTGGTTTATGACCTTGAACATATTTCCTATATGTCTGCCTTTGTCTCCTTGTCTAACATGCTCTTAGTTAAAGAATAATCACTCCTTCTCAGGCCGGGTGCAGTGGCTTATGTCTGTAATCCCAGCAGTGTGGGAAGCTGAGGCAGGAGGATCACTTGAGCCCAGGAATTCAAGATCAGCCTCAGCACAGCAAGGCTGATGCGGGGCAGGTGATCCCCAAAACTGGGGCTTAGCCCAAGAGAGTTTTTGACTTCACCTGGGAAAGAATTCAAGGGTGAGCTGGTGGTGTTAGACAGCACCTTAAACTTTTTTTTTTTGAGACGTAGTGTCGCTCTGTCGCCCAGGCTGGAGTGCAGTGGCACGATCTCAGCTCACTGCAAGCTCTGCCTACCGGGTTCATGCCATTCTCTTGCCTCAGTCTCCCGAGTAGCTGGGACTACAGGCGCCCACCACCTCGCCTGGCTAATTTTTTTTTTTTTTTTTTTTTTTTGAGACGGAGTCTTGCTCTGTCGCCCGGGCTGGAGTGCAGTGGCCGGATCTCAGCTCACTGCAAGCTCCGCCTCCCGGGTTTACGCCATTCTCCTGCCTCAGCCTCCCGAGTAGCGGGGACTACAGGCGCCTGCCACCTCGCCCGGCTAGTTTTTTGTGTTTTTAGTAGAGACGGGGTTTCACTGTGTTAGCCAGGATGGTCTCGATCTCCTGACCTCGTGATCCGCCCGTCTCGGCCTCCCAAAGTGCTGGGATTACAGGCTTGAGCCACCGCGCCCGGCCGCCTGGCTAATTTTTTGTATTTTTAGTAGAGACGGGGTTTCACCGTGTTAGCCAGGATGGTCTCAGTCTCCTGACCTCGTGATCCGCCTGCCAAAGAGTCTAGAAATTCTTGAATTCTTGAATTCCTTTTAAGGCCTGACCTGTGTGGGTGGCTAAGGATTCTAGGGTTTGAATCAAGTTCTTCATGGTTGACTCGTGGTAAGCAGAGCCACCCAAGGGTGCCACTAGTCCTATTGCTGCCCTGATTCCCACCAAAATTAATCCTATTGCCACTTACTTCTGGTGTTCTTGGGTCTTATGGGGTTACAGACTGTGGCCTCTGGAGGGGCAAGAGCAGCTATTATACATTCACCTCTGTTCCAAGTTTTTTATTTTTATTTTTTAAGACAAAGTCTCAAAAAAATTAGCAGGGCGTGGTGGCGGGTGCCTGTGGTTCCAGCTACTCGGTAGGCTGAGGCCGGAGAATCGCTTGAACCAGAAGGCAGAGGTTACAGTGAGCCGAGATTGTGCCATTGCACTCCAGCCTGAACAACAGGGCAAGATTCCTTCTTTTTTTTTTTTTTTTTTTTTTTTGCGATGGAGTCTCACTCAGCCACCCAGGCTGGAGGGCAGTGGCGCGATCTCGGCTCACGGCAACCTCCGCCTCTGGAGTCCAAGTGATTCTCCCGTCTCAGCGTCCTGAGTAGCTGGGATTACAGGCACCCACCATCACCCCCGGTTAATTTTTGTATTTTGGTAGAGACGGGGTTTCACCATGTTGGCTAGGCTGGTCTTGAACTCCTGACCTCAGGTGATTCGTCTGCCTCGGTCTCCCAAAGTGCTGGGATTATAGGCGTGAGCCACCTCCTGTAATTTTTTTTTTTTTTTGAGATGGAGTCTCGCTCTGTCACTCATGCTGGAGAACAGTGGCGTGATCTCGGCTCACTGCAACCTCCGCCTCCCGGGTTCAAGCAATTCTTCCGCCTCAGCCTCCTCAAATTTTTTTTTTTTTTTTTTTTTTTTTTTTTTTAAGACGGAGTCTCGCTCTGCCGCCCAGGCTGGAGTACAGTGACCAGATCTCAGCTCACTGCAAGCTCCGCCTCCTGGGTTCACGCCATTCTCCTGCCTCAGCCTCCCGAGTAGCTGGGACTACAGGCGCCCGCCACCTCGCCCGGCTAATTTTTTTTTTGTATTTTTTTAGTAGAGACGGGTTTCACCGTGTTAGCCAGGATGGTCTCGATCTCCTGACCTCATGATCCGCCCGTCTCGGCCTCCCA